TTTTTTCTCAAATTTAAATGTTGGCATCTTTTGTGAATCCTTTGCTGCTTTTCTCCCTTCAGTCATAAACGGTTGATAGGGTATTGTTGTCACCCCACCAGGCGGGTGGTGGATGGCCACACGTTCGGCATGGACATCCATCTTTGTGATGACTCAAGAATGAGAAGATGTAGGATTTTCAAATTAATACCATAGGTACATCTACTAAAAATCTAAGTACAATTTGCTGACCTTGATCTCAAGGTTTAAAATCAGAGATCAAGTTTTCTTCCAGTGAATCACGCAAGAAGGAAGCCACTAAGGATTTTTAAATTCATCTACTAAGAGGCTGAACTAGCACTAGCAGTGGTCATTATTTTGTCCATTATATTTTTCTTTTAAATGCACATTTGAGTCCACCTTTCTTAATAAAATTGTCCCTCATTGTTGATTTGGTTTTCAGATCCTTGAATGGGAGAGAAGTTAGCGGAATTGAGATTTAATTTGCCCTGACAAATTATCAGATTTGTCAGGGCAACCACACCTGACAAATCTGATAAATTTGATAACAGGAAATTTCTAAAAACTATGCAGCATACTGAAGACAAGTGTTTCAGGGTTAGTGTTGTACAGAGAATACACTTTACTGTCAGTTTCACTGTGATTTTGCCAACTTCTAAAGTAATAGATATCTGTTGTGCTTGGTATTAGGTCCCCTTGATGTTGGAATCCTTTTAAAAACAAACGCTAAGATGTTTTTTAACTTAAGGCTTGCCAGTGCTTAAATAGCCTGTTAACCAAGAATGGTGAGTTGAAGGGGGAGCTGTATGCACTACCGATGGAGAAGAAACAGTTTCTATATGTGAAATCTTTGCTGGAAAATATGAGTTCAGTTTTCCAGCAGAGTTATTAAAGGGTCCAACACTGCCTGCCTCCCTTCAATATACTCAGGGTGTCTCTCTGTTATCTGGATTCACTTACCCTAACATCTGCAATAAAAAAAAAGTGATCACAAAGCTAGTTAACAACTTGTTGAGTAAATCCAGGGTTTCCCCTGCACGTTTCCATGTAAGGAGTGGCATTGGTAGCATCTGACCAATCACAAGCATGAAAGAGTGTAGTGGCAGCAGAGCAGTTGATTTTTCAAAGGAAGATAAAACTATACTACCCGAAAAATCTTAAGAGATTAAACTCACAATACAGGCGGAAAACAATAAAGCTGCTGCAGACAAAGTAGTGACATGAGCGTGTGTGTGAAAGGAAAAGGGCTCTACAGTAGTTTAGTAACAAAAGAGGTGTGTGAATTTCTGAATGTGTTTAAGGACTTTGGTCAGCGAGACTGGAAATACAGTGGGGCAAAAAAGTATTTAGTCAGCCACCGATTGTGTAAGTTCCCCCACCTAAAATGGTGACAAAGTTGCATCTTAATCTGCAGGTGTTAAAACCCATTTTTTTCCTTCTGCCCTACCTTGGCTCATATCTGCAGCAGGTTTCGTGTCCTTTCACTCTGCAAAATCACACTTCAGCTGCTGCTGCTTATTGGTTAAAGACTGCACAGTGTAACAGCTCCTGAGGGATATTTGTAGCATGTGTAACTTAATCGGGACGCCCCCATCTGTCTGCTCCTCACATCAGTAACTCTGTTTTTAGTTATGAAGGTCAGACAGACAACACTCCTTCCTTTTTTGTGAACTTTCATTCTGCATCTAGCATTGTGACAGACTCTCTTCACGACCTAAACCAGTAAATCATGTGTTAAAACAAACAGTGCTAACTCAGCAAAGTAATAGCAATTAGGCTCAGTTGATGTGAGTAAATAATTACACTACTACTTACTCACTAAATTTAAAGATAAAAACAAAAACAAGTTTTCCCCAAATCATTTACATCATATATTAATTTATTGTTGAACATAAAAGTATAAATTACATTTTACAATGTAAAACAGGAACACATCCCACTGACTTTTCAAATTAAGGGTAGGTAATTACAACACCAACTTTTGTTTGTTTGTTTTTAGCTCAGTAACATTAGATTATATAAAAGCACTGATGAGGTTTTCCTCATGTTGCTTACAGGTCAGATGGTCAATATAGGCTCAATGAAAAAGACTGAAATGGCTTTTGTAAAAACAACAAACAGACAAAACAGAAGACCACGGCTGAAACATAACATTAAAAAAAATCTAGTTTTTGCAAAATTATGCTATCATCAGAATATATCATGCACGTAGGTAGCACAGTAAGTGTCTGTATCTGTGAGGATGTTGTGTGTGTAATAAGGAAGGGCTGCATTTCCTCTCTTTGCTCCTCACATGACTGAGTCGTTTAGACCTTAATTCAGGGTGGAAAGAAACAACACAACCCTACTGACCTTGAATAGGAAAAATTAAAAAACAGAACTAATTTACATCAACAAATAAAAAGTATAAAAGAAAGCAAGTCAGCACAAAGGAAAGGGATACAGATGCACAAAAGGTGAGTGCCATGAAAAACAAACATGCAAACCAAAGGCTACTGTGTTACTGCCTTAGCTTTTCCTGTCATGATTTGTATACTCTTTATATTTACATAGAATAACAAAACTTAGAAAATCATGACACTCATCACCGGTACCTTTAAAGAAAACACATTTAAAAATGTGTTTTAATGGTCGTTTTCATAAAGAGAAACTTGGTACATGGAGCAGATGTAACGCTTAGTGGACCCTAGACGGTAAGTGGTTTCTGCTTGCAAGATTAAGGCCTTATTCTATTCACTGCTTATTATGAAGTAGCTTTTCTTGCTTCCCTGCACACACACAGTCATTTAAATCAAGATATGAAAACACACGAGCGACTAGTCTCTCCGTACAGATACATCGGTGGGTGGAGGATTACTAAGAAACTTAGAGGCATACAGGTAAAAAGCATCAGTTTAAAAATACAGTGGCAGTAAAAGGACCCTCAAAAGGTTACAGTACAGAAGAAACAGAAATGTATTTACGAGTGTTATTTACTGTAAATTAATTAAATTAATTTTATATTTCAATCCATACAGTATCCACATTTCTCAGTTTATCCCCATTCATGTTAAGTCTGAGTTTCCAAGTAGTACTGGGCTCTGTGCGAGCGTATTGGCAGAACAATGTGGTTAAGCTGGCAAAAATACATGATTGCGATTTACTTCCTAAGCAATGCTTTGACTTTGACAAAAGAAAAATAAGCATTAAATACTCTAGATTGGAGTGGTTTATACATGCTGCTCTGGTGTTTGTCTCACATGAGCTGCTACCTTTCAAGACAGCCATAAATAAAACATTATCTCTATGATCCCTGTTAATCAACAATTGTACAAGCTGTACAGGATAGAAGATCATACAAATCATATTTTAAAAAGTATGCAGTCATAGAATGCCTCCTTGCTATCTGGTCACCCCAAGGGGCTCTTTTATAACATGGCCTCCAGACATCAGCAGAAAAGACAAATCACACTTTAAAATATATATTAGTTATATTTCATGACATGAGAATGTTTTTCTGGAATTTTTGGTGACCTAATGTGAGGCAGCAGGTATAATTATTCCTATTCAACTGCATATTTTTGCTATGGTTTTAATCCACCACAACTGTAACAGCAGATACCTGGTTCTTTATAATGGTAAAACCTGCATTGGGGGGCATTAGGACGACTCTGATGGGCAAAAGGACTAGGCACACCTCGTATCACATATCTGATTGTGTTTATTAAAAAACTCCCACTGATGGCTCTACGTTTCACACTTCATGATGAATGTGTGACATCAGCATCACAGCCTTATCTTCTTCATATGATCAAATTTACCACATTTGAGTGACTGAGGTATGACACATGCAAAAACAAACCCCAAACGCCTCTAAAATGACAAAGTCTGGTTGTACATAATATTTTTCATTCTGATAGTTCATCCATCTCTGCTGGGTGACCGGAGCAGGACTGACCAGCCTGAGTTGAAGTCCAATCTGTAAAAATATTAAAAGCACATATTATTCTGAATGCTGTGCCACTGATATAACCACATCTGTCACTATTTCTTTAAGAAGTGTCCTTAGGCTTCAAAGACTATTAAATGACCAACATAAGGTTAGCTGCTGTTATTCAAATTTAAAGGTTTAACAACAGAAAGTTTTATGGTGTATGTCTTTCAAGCTAGGGCTTGGTTTCTTAATTTTTTAAGGAATTTTAAATGCTGTCCCCCCCGTGTATATGCACTACCACATACACATGAATAGTATCCTTTTTTAATATAAAAACACACAGAAAAATGACATAAATGTAGAATTTAACCTGCCTTTCTTCTGGTGGGGATTCAATATTAAACTTCTGTTGATTTTCCAATTATAAGTCCATCACCCTGCAAAACAAGAAACCACTCAAATATATTAGCATGTAATAAAAAAGTCAAAACATAACTGCATAACTGAAGTTCTTAATGACACTGAATCGTCATGTTGGAAAACTGCTGCATCAGACCTGCTAATGAACTGAGCTACAAAAACAACCTGAGAAACGCTGAGACCATAATTTTCAGCTCATTTACTAATTCACCAGGTTGCCTTGTTACACTTTCACCTGCACTTGAGAATTAGCCAGATGAGGAGGTTTGGGAGCTACACCTGGCTTCTTTCTGGTAGCTGTCGGTGAGCTGCTTCGCCTCAGGCTGGGTGTCCGACAGGTCTGTGGGTGGGTCTGTGAATTCTGAGATACACAGGAGGAGTCGTCCACTATTTCGCCACTGATGGCAGACAGACAGCTGTGCTCCGAGCTGCTGAAGAGATTCGTGCACTCCTCAGAAGACTCGGTGCTGTCCACTACACGGAAAGAAAACAGGTTTTTTGACATCAAACTGATATAAGTTAACATTTCATAGTGATGTTCAAGAAAAAAATAGAAACCTAGTAAAGATCGCACTGCAGTTTTTCACACTGCTGTGCCACTAGATTGGGCCAAATTAAAAGATAAACTTAAACCCTCCAGTGGATTTAAATATAACTACTGCTCTATGTTAGGATAATCACCATATGATTAGTTCTGATTTATCATTTAGTCATTTACTGTTTGAATACTAGTAAGTTAAAAAGTCAGCAGCAAACAAACACGTCTCTCTATAGGGAGCAAAAAACCTTAAAATAAACTCACTCAGTGGATGGCGATCATTGCACTGCTCATAGTTAAGGTGATGTTGATGTAGGTGATGATTGTTGAGTTCATTGTCAGTCACAGCGTCAGGGGAGGAGCAGACAGCTGGATTGGCATCCACGCCCTGCGACAGGTTCCCGGGATGTCCGGCAGGGGGCAGTGAGCCACGGCCGGATGAGGAAGACGATTGGCTGAGGGTGGTGGAGGTGGTGCTGCCAGAGCCAATGGAGTGAGGTCGGGGATAGTCTAAACCCCTGTGTGAACAACACGCCACAGGGACTGACGACATACATAGATATTAATGAGACAATAATGGGCTTGATTAGTGAGCAATGAGGACTGTTGAAGTACATGCACATGAAAAAGTATTCTCTCCGTAGCTGGATTAGTGGGCTTTACCAAATGTCAGGGCAATCAATAAAATCAGTGCTATAAAAATTTGTTTATAATAATAATGGATTGCATTTATATACCGCTTTTCGGGACCCTCAAAGCGCTTTATAACACGTTTAGTACAACAAAGACCAAACTGATGCACAGCCCCCTATTCCCCAAAATTATCTGTGATGTGATAGAACAAGAAGAATGAAATGATATGCAATTGATTAAAAACAATTCATTAAAGAATTTTATAAAAATACAAAAAAGTAGTTTTTGAGAGTATTTCAGCGCTTCCTCAATTATAATAGCTTTTGTTTGATGTGCTCTTTGTAAGTGATACATGCACAGTGGAGGAAATAATCATTTGATCCACTACAAACCAGCCAGATTTGTGGTTCCCACAGATTACAATCAGTGTATTCATCAGTTAATTACAGATACTCCTGATCTCAAATTGTTATGTGTATAAAGCTCTCCTCTCCACCACCATGGGCGAGACCAAAGAGCTGGCAAAGGACATCAGGGACAAGATTGCAGGCCTGCTGGCTGGAATGGACTACAAGACAATCAACAAGAATCTTAGTGAGAAGATGACAACTGCTGGTGTGATTGTTTGGAAATGGAAGAAATACAAATGACAATCAGTTGCGCTTAGTCTGCAGCTCCATGCAGGATCTTGCTTCATTAGGTGGGAGTGATAATGAGAAAGGTGGTGGATTAGTCCAAACTACAATGGAGGATCTGAAGGCAGTTGGGCAGAACAAGCCCATTTTATGTAAATGACTCAATGGGCGTAAAATCTTTGACACACCCCATACCATACCCATACTGTCGGGCTAAAGAAGCATGTTAAGGTCGTGGAGTGGCCTAGCCAGTCACAGACCTCAGCCATATACAAAATCTGTTGACAGCCAAGAAAGATAAAGGATTAAGAGTTTCTGTAAAGAGGATTGGGCCAAAATCCTGATATGTGTGCAAACTTGGTGACCAACTACCATCTTACTGCTGTGGTTGCCAACAAAGGTTTCTCCAGCAAGTGCTAAAGCTTTGCTTGGGGATCAAATACTTATTTTATTCAATGACATGACATGAGACTGTTCACTTACAAATTCTTACAAATTCAGCAAGGGATCAATTAATTATTTCCCCCACTGTAAGTTAAAGTTTTTCAAATAACACGTAAAGTGCCTTTATTGTCACATTTAACTTAAATATGTTTCAGGACACAGCCCTTGATCAGATTTCCTGTATCCAGGGGATCTTTACTAGTGTAAAGATTCCAATTGGAATGTTACACTTTGGTGGTGTTACACCAATTGCAAGCATATCAGCTGTGGAAAAGGAATGATGTTTTTTGTTTTTTTTGCAATGGATTATAGTGATTTTCAACTCAATTAATTCCTAACCATCCCCAGAGCCATGACACAATAATAATTACAACCTAATGTCAACCTCAAGCCTTTTGGGGGGTTAAATGGATGAATTAAATGTTAAACTTTTAATTAACTGAAAAAACTAAAACTATAGTACAAAGGGTGGAAATAACACCAAGACTGCAAGAGAACTCTGAATTGTTATGTTATATCTGATAGATGAAGTGGAATTTAGTTTAAAATGTTGTATGTGCAGCTCCTTACTTCTGTCGGTAACAACACAGCTGACAGCTCGGTCACAAATTGCAGCATCACTGGGTTGAATATCCATGAATGGCTTGCGGTCCATTCCCATGAATACCCTCTCCTGCATGCGCATTTCTGGAACAAAACGTAGATTCACAATATGTTTTTAAACCTGTGAAGCACCGTGCACTGGGTCAAATGCTAAATAAAGACAGTATGTTGTTACAACCTCTACTATGAGCAGCCTGATCCCAGAGTATCCTCTCCAGGTCTGTGGTCCAGGCTTTCTTCACCTCCACGCTTGAGGCTCTCAGAGTGTAGGTGTCCTCACTTTTTCTCCTCCGGAACCAGATCTCAAAACACAGAGCGCTCATAGCAGAGTTATGAGTCATCCCAATGTCATTTGTCTGAAGAAGAAAATAGAAAGAGATGTAGAAATTTCTCATCCTGGAGGATTCAAGCAGTATTGACATGTAATTCCTTGTAAATTGTGTTTTAAGGTTCAAAAAGGGTTGACTGTTTAGGTTCTGACAACCCTTTGATGAGCAAGGACATGTGCAGACCTTGAATGACTGCTTGTAGATGTACACGTCATTTCCGATGTCCGTCTTCTTGGTCTTGCTGAAGAGAATCAGATCTTCAAAGAGGAAGACGCGGCGGACACATTTCTTCTTCCTGAAGAAAACCGTGAACTCATCCTGGCGAATCAGCTGGCCTTGTTCTTTCAAATTCACCTGACAGAAAAAAGGGGACGCAACTGTCACTGTCATGCAACAACTGTGATTTAAGTTGACCCGGCCTCCCGTTTTAAAATCTTACATCACAATCCTGAATGGCATCCATGGTGAGTAAATCATTGCCATGACGCATCTGAAATCGAATCAGATCTGCGGCAGCCTGGATCTCGGCCCTCTCCCGCTCCCTCTCACTGCTCGTCAGGTCAGGCACATACACAGCTGGGCCGGACACGCTTTGCGAGCATATATTAGAAGTGCACAGTGCATCCTGGATGATATCTTTTGGCCTGTATGAGCCAGCCAAAGCTAACATGTCCTGGAGCAGAAGGCTGTACTTGCTAATTCTTTGAATAGGGCGCAGAAGGTAGGATGAAAGGTCCATCATGTCTCCCAGCTCCTGCTGCTTCTTCTGTGAAGGAACAAAAAAGGTAGAGTGTAAGTCTAAAAAGTAAAAGCATGGCACAAACACTCCTACTGTAGCTGTTGGACAATGGTGGGAGCTGTTCTTATATACCTTGGAAGGGTGCATACTGCTACCACTAAGCTTCCTAGAAAATGCACTTATGGTACAAGTTTGAACATCCTAGGTGCCTAGATTCCTTCTCGAGTTACCACAAACACCAGATTTTCAGAAAACTCTGAAACTTTCAAAAGCCCCGATCGTGAGATCGAGGTCACACAGATTAGAATTTGTTTTTACCAGGTGCATCTATCGTATCGATTTGAAAATCCTACAGTGCCTCATTCTTGATTTATCATGTTCACATAGTTGGGTCTCCACACCTCCCTTCCACCTGCCAGTAACGGGGTAAGTGGGTAACAACAATAGCCCATCAGCCCCTTCAGCTGAGGGGTAAAACGTTGTCTGTGGAATACTTTTAATCACTCAGCTCTTTTAAAGTTGTAAGTAAGAGTTATAATAAATACAGTAAATCTCCTTTACATCATTAAGTTAGAAAACTGCTTTAAAAGTTTTTCATTGACAGGAAGACGTAAATTAACCTTGAAGATGTCATGGGGACGGTGCAGGATCAGGGCATCTGATTGAGGTTTGTTCTTGCTGTACAAAGCATATAGACCAAAACTCTCACTCTGTGGAAAAATACAGTTTAATGTAAAGTGAAAGTTTTTTCTGAGAAGAAGTAAAAACATTATGTAGAATAAATATTGTATGAAAAAGTATAACGCAGTCACAGAGTTGTTACTCACGTGTCTGAGAAAGCAGCGGGCCATCATCGCAGGCTCCCTTGGACAGGCCTCCAGCTCTGGCAGGAAATAGTGGCTGTGGAAATCATAAAGCTTCTCCAGGTTGCCAAAGATGACCCCTCGCTTGCCCCTGAGGTCCTGGGGGATGTCTAGTCTGTCCATTAGGGGGAGGTAGTGGGTGAGGATGTAGCCTAAGGAGCGGACGTACTCCCTCTCTGTGAACACCAACTCCTCCATGACACGCTGCAGCCTCCTGGTGACAGGAGGATATGATCATACAAAATATTCTAAACAAATGTTAGCATGCTCAGGTAAAAAAAAGTGCAGACATCTTCTGATAACTACAGTACTGTGTAAAAGTCTTTGGCCGGCCCTTATTTTTTTATATTTTCCTACAAATATAGGTAAAGGTGCAGCGGTTTATTGTAACGTGCAAACATAAATAGGAATACAGTATATAAGGCAAAATCTGTGTGTACAGTTCTGAGGTTGAAAGGTTGAAAGTGTTTTCTTTTTCGGATGTTGGCTGCCTTTTGTTTCATTCTCTGTCAAGATGACCTCACACTGCTTCAATAATGTTGAGTTATCATAATGAATGATTGTGTACCAGTGTGTTAGTTATTAAAAAAATACAACAAACTTCTTTGAAGAAAAATACAAAGAAATGAGAGGTGGTCCAAGACTTTTTCACAGTACTGTACATTCTCTTTGTTACGCTTATCATCAGCTATCTTTCCCATTTCAGATAGATACATTATTATTTTGCTTCCGTCACGTATATAGTAAGAAAAAAAAAAGCCAGCATTCATGAATTATGGAAACAACCCGCTGGGCACAGATAAATATTTACACCACGAACCTACATTTCTTCCCCAACTTCTTCTGCATTGGGTTAAATGTAAATTTATTGCAAACAAAGTTTCTCAGCACAGTATTTAAGATATTCGAAATTTCCAGTGAGGTAATAGCAGCACTGATAGTCTGTGCTCAGTAAGCCCGTTCCATCAATCCATGACACAAAGATGGAAAAAACAGAGGGAAAGTGAACAGACAGTACCTGTAGCTCTTCATTGCCAGCTTAGAGACAGAAAAGAGTGCATGAAAGACTCACATGAGCCACATAAGATGAGCCAAATTAAAGTTAATCATCAAATATTACTTATTCTCTATAGGCAATAATGATTTCACCCACACACAGAAGACTTACAGGGCGCGGCTGGCACTCCCATGTGGACTCTCTAAACAACAGGTCCCCTCATTCCTCCCAGTGGGCAGGCTGGAGTGTTTGCAGCATGAAGTCCCTTTACCCCCCACAGTCCCGTGGTCGCTCATGCAGGAGTCTTCTGAGCAGAAGCTCCCATGGCGGGAGATCTGAAACTTCTGAGCTTCTTGGAGGATTCGACAAGACGGCTGACCATGGTGGGAACAAGATGATGGGGTTCGAACTCGCTGCTCTGGAGGAGTAGATGATCCTGCTTTTGCCACTCGTGTGGTACATGAGTCCTGACTCGCTGACCTCACCCCAAAACCCCGTCCCCATGGAAACCATTGGCAGCCGACAGTGTGGGACTGAGACAGAGCGGCAGTGTCTCTCTCGCTCCTTGCTCTGCTTATTTGCCTCCTCTTCACCTCTCTTTCTGTTCTCCTTTCTGACCTGTATAAAAATGACACAGAGACACTGTTACTACTTCTGTAGCACAGCCATGCTACAGAAAACCAACTCAAAACTGCCTTTAAGGTTCTTAATCATCTTAAATGTTTATTCAGATCCATAAATCTTTATTTTTTATGCCAGCGGAGATCCAAAACACTTTTTGTATTTTTTGTTTGAATTTTGTATACCATGACATAATGCACAGGGCATCTACAATTACTACAATTGGATTATAATTATTATTACACAGAGAAATTCTCCCAAATATTACAAATAACAGAAGAGTGTGAGACTTGCTTTGGAAATCAAAGTGAGTTAAATATTTAATAAGAGGGATGGATAGACAACCAAAGAAATTATTTTACCTATGAGGAGATTGTGGAGCGACCTTTGACCCCTGGTAAATTCCAGCCTCACTGTAATCCTCAGGTTTAACGATGATGTTACAGCAGGCTACAGCTGTTGAATTAGCGCAGTTGTTGCCCAGGATCGGTCTTCTCTTTCCTAAATCCACCGCTCCTGACATGATGCTTTCCCACTGCGGATGCCGAGGCCCAGGGGTTGATTGTACCACCAAATTATGGCTGCCGGGAGAAGCTGTCTGAACATTAGTGCTCACCACGTCAACAAAATGACCTTCACACCAGCTGCTAGAATCTGGTTTCTGGTGATAAACCTCATCCACATTCTGCATCCTCTCCTGAAGCTGTTGCCGGGCTTCCTGACTTCTCAGCCAGGCAAAGTTCCAGACACGCATCCCCCGGGAGCCCTGCAGGAAGCTGGCCTGTGCCTTTACCTCCTGGAATTTCTCCGGGCTGAACTGTTGGAACCTGTCATGGAAAGCCTGGAGGATGGAGCTGTCGGTGCATGAGGGGGAAACACCGGTGGTGGTTGGATGTGAGCCTTGCTCTGTATGGATGTCAAACTGACAAAGGGATGCAATGTTTGGACTAGAGTCTTGGTTTTGGAGCAGAGTGTCTCTTTGTTTAACCTGTGAGGCGCTTTCAAGGTCCTGCACTGCATGGATTCTGGACTGACACTGGTCCAGGTAATCAATGCATTCACTGGACAGTGCTGTAGCCTGTTTATAAAAGAAATGTCTATTTAAATAAAAGTAAATGAAAAAGACTTCTTACTACTTTTTAAAAAACGAGTAGTTCTAACCTAGAAAGTCAGATGTTAAAAAATGCAAAGTACAGGATAAAAAGTATGAAAGTTTGGGGTTCCCAAACAGGCAAAATATGCAGTATGAGAGCAACAAGCGACAAGTATCAAATACAAACCTGCTCACAAAAATCGCACACGTTGACCATGATCTGCAGCTCTCTGCCACACGCCTCTGCTCGGCATAGGAAGTCCTCCAGGCCTGACTTGAAGGTACAGACAAAATCCCTGAACGCCTCAGTCTCTGGGTAGGAGATCCCTCTCTGCTGAAGCTGCTCGGCCTCTGACACCAAAGACATGGCGTGGTGCCGTCGGTCCTGCAGGGGGACAGAAAGAGAGACTCAGAGAGCTGCACAAACAAACACAAATACAGGGAGAGCGGCAATCACAAATAAAATCTTAGACTGACATTAGCTTCAATTAGGAAACCAGTGAAGCTGTTGAGGATCTGCTCCATTCTGTCTCCAGAGTCCTCCACTGACTCTGCCTCCAACAAATGGTGCTCTCCCTCCTCATTAAACCACTGCTGAATCTACATAGGGGTGGAGACACAAAAGTTATGTATTTGGTAATGTAGCATATAAGAAAACTGAATATGTGCAGACTCCAGTGTGTGCATATGCATATGCATATTCAGGTGCAACTAAACTGAATGTGCTGCTTTTCATTTCTCAGTTAAAAGCAGCACTGAGTTAATTAAAATGTTTTAGTGTCTAGTTTTTTTTTGTTGTTCATTCGCATTATAACACAAAGAGAGCAGGAATAAAATATAAACTGTTTGCATATTACCTGTTTATATAAATATATATATATGTATATATAATATGTATGCATATATACATATATATATACACACTGAGGTGTGTATATATATATATCAACTTAGAACATAAATAAGTTACCATCAGTGCCTGATTTAAATTTGTAATGAAGTGATATTAAAAGCCACAAACTAGAGGAAATCTTGTACAAGCCCTCGTTTTTTCTTTTTAACACTATATTCTATATGATCAATTACAGCTAAATTATACTTTCAATTTATTTACACACAAAAATCCTGAAATTCTACACTTCAATACAGCCACCTAATTCCTTGCTGAATCAGTGGCCTTTTGTGACGTCAGGATCACAGGACCTACACCAACTTTAGTCTAAAAATACCTTTTCAAATAAGAAACCTTTAACCTTAGTAAACAGAACATCAGTCAACGTACCTGTGTGAAGTGCCCCTCCATCTCTCTGAGTTGGAGCAGGTACTCCAGGTGCTCCAGCGACATGTTGGACCGCTGCACGAGGACGTGAGCCTGCTCCTCAACGTGGTTGTACAGACCTGTCACTGAGTCCACTGCATCACTGTATTGAGGAAAACGTAACATCAAAGACTTCACAAAGAAGTTGATAAAAGTAGTGAATGTCATTTTAAACATTTCAGTGTACTCCAGCACCCCCACTGAAGATGAGATCACACTTTTAATGTAACTTACCTGAAAAGATAAAGGCCAGCACCTACTCAAAGTGTAGGAAAACACTTACTTATAAATGAATCAGTGTGTCTGGCCTCATGTTCTTTCCTGTACCTGTTGTTTCATATTCAATAAACTACGGCAAATGTGATGTTAAGATGACACTTTGCTATTCTAACAATGTTTAATTGCCAGTTATAGAAAGATACTGACACTTGTTGTTTCACAGCAAAACCTGAATCAGACTGTAGGACAACAGCTGGGATTTTCTACACTTGCAAACATAGCATTAGGATGATTCGTGGTTACCTAAAGTCCTCACAGTGGGGGTATTTGAGGTCGCTCTGCTTCCTTAGCCTAGCCAGGATAGCTCCACCCTCTCTCTGCAGGCTGACCAATCGGCTGTCCTCCAGAACATCCCTCATCAGAGTCCTCTGGTCTATCATGCACTGCTGCACACCCTGTTACATAAAGACCAAACAAAGAAGTAGTTACTGAGGAGAAGGTAACCTCAATTTCCAAGGTCCAAATAACAAAATGAAAAACCAGTCAAAGGCAAGTGTTCAAGTACCTGTACAGTATCTGTCCTGCGGGGCTCCTCGAGCTTGCTGATGGCTCTCAGGAGCAGGCTGGAGGCCACATGCAGATCGTAGACAAATGGGAAGAGTTTCTGCAGAACAAAAGATGTGGCTAAGCAGTGAAAAGGCAGACAGGCATGGACAAATGGAAACAGTTAATATCATAATGTGACGGCCTCACCTGATGTAGCTCCTTCCAGTCAACGTTACCACGAGACAGTGTCCCATCCAGGTGTGAACTCAGCTGACTCGCCTCCACCAGCTTCAGCAACGATTTAACTGATGTCACTATATCAGTCTGTCAAATTACCAGGAACATATTTAAGTCATTACTCAGTATTTAACCACAGGAGATTGTTCACTTATCACCTTTAGCAGACATATTGTAGATCTTTATGTAATCTGGTTTATTAAATCCTTCAAATTCTACGTTTTTTGCTTTCATTTTAACTAATTAGTGCACGAACAAAACTGGAACTTTGGACCTCTCGGTGTGTTTGCTGGTATTTGATTTAGATGATTGTCCTTACAAGATCAACAGCAGATCGTTTTGATCTATTTAGTTTTGTAATTAGTTCATCTTATACACCGCTGAAAACAAAACATCTGATAAAGAAAACTTATCTTTGATTAAAGACCTGTTCTTTCCTTCTACAGCTGATAGTCATGCAATATGACATATTTTACTCTCTTAACAAAATATTTAGCTGTTGCTAGTTGCAAACACATATACGAGATTAGATTTCATTCACAAAAGAAAGAAATCGTCTTCTGGGGAACAGGACTGTAAATGCAAAGAGTCTCAAGATGTAAGATATTTGCATGGCTAAACACACATGCTTTTGCACTCTTAGAAATAATGCATAATATATACATATATGGCATGTAATACATACACACAGATGTTCAGTGAGCTGGATTAGCGTTTGTGCTGAGCTGATTCTGCCCCCTGGGCCTAATGTTTAACTCCCCTGCTTTATGAGGGCTTTCTGTTAAAAATGGATGTAAAGAGTGAAAAAGCTGACCTGTATCCCTGGACACCTTTCTGGTCTGAAGTTGTTCTCTTTGTCCACCAGCATAACCAAACTGCTCACTGCTTGAGGGCGCTGCTCCTGCAAGGATTTAACACTCCACTGAGCTAATCATGACAAATAAATCAACAGATGTATACTGAAAACTAATGTCATCTCTTGCTCTCTTGCAAACAAGCAGGGTGCTGATGCATTTTAGGACTTGATCTTTCACCCAGTATTTATGATCTGCAAACAGGAGCACTCAGCCAGAGATTAACACATAAAACATCAATTACCTGTGATCAGCTGTAGCAAGCTGTAATAAGGAAAGTTTGTTTGCTTCATACCTGAAGAGTCATCAAAGCTTTATAGAGGTGCGGCTGAGGATTAGTTTTCCTCGCATCAAACACTAGTGTCATCCCACTGTCTCTGATTTCTGTCCTACAAAAACAAACATTCCAACTAGCACACAGTATTTCCACAAATAAAACAGAGACAACCACATAAATGAGAAAACTCCTGCTTTCCAGCAGGTCTGTGAATGCAGAGAGGGTCTATTTTAAGCTTTTGGTTGAATGATTTATTCATTTCTTACCTGGTAATAGAGTGGAAGTAGAGCAGCATCTGGAAGATCTCCTGGCTTGTTACAGCTGTTCGCCATCCCGGGTGGTCACCATACAGTTCAACTACTGCCCTGCCTGTCCTGTCTCTGCCGCCTAGATGGGTAAGAGAAAGGAGAGATGAGGAGAAAAATAAAAATAAAATATGTTGCATACGCAGGAGGGTTTTCACAAACGAGCTGATATATTTTCAAAAGTTTGAAAGTGAGAAAAACTTTGCAAAATAATACTGCAGCTGACAAAATAGTGAGGACCAAAGTCTAGAATAATAATAATCAAAAAAGAGAGAAGCAAACAGACGGTTCAACGTTTTCTAGGTACAATGCATAGTAGTGAAGGCTTCTATTAGGAGTAATAGGTTATGCAGCAGTGTTCATATTTAAGATTTCATCATTGCATAATGACCTCTAACTGCAGGTCAGTGTAGTCGCCTGCTTCACAGTTACATGAGGAGTCCAACAACACATTGCAGCAACCAAAGACAAACAAACTAGACCCGAGCAAGGTCATTCACATTTTCCTGTAGAATTCACTTGGTTGAATTCTGAAACCACACGGTTAGATGCCTCCAAGTTAAACACAACACTTTATAAGTGAATTTCACTGCAAATGTTGCAAAGCAAATGTTTTCTATGAGCGCAAAAACAATAAAATATTTATTTTCATAAATAAATAAAATCACAGACACAGACTCTCACACTGAAATAATGTCATATATTAGATAGCAGATGAGATTTTTATATTGATGCTTTTACACTGCAGCTCTGAACCTTTCTAGACTTTATCCAACAGAGGTGCAGTCAGGTCATTAAGCAGTCTGATATGTAACTGCACCCAACAGTCTAGTAAAGCCACAGCTAGCTACTGGACTTCTGGTGTGCCGCATACTGCATGCTGTACTCAGAGAGCATACTTGCATAAGGCCAGTGGAGTATTTCTTACAGTGGTATTTGTAAAAAAAGAGCAACAATGTCCCAAGATGATTCTTCAATCAGTGCACATGGATATTAATGGATAGCTTTTTATTTTATTTATTGTATATCAAATTGATTACCTGTAAGTGATGCTACTCCCAGATAGAGGGGGTGGGCTCCGGGGTCTGGAGATCCTAGAGGTAAGTGGTCAGGTCTAGGACGAGCAGAGGGAGGCCGGGAGGTCTTCTGTGTCCCTGCCACTAGAGGTGTATCTGTCTGTGATGGTTTCTGTGTTTGCTGGCTGTTTCTACTAGTTATGGAAGCGCTGCCAGGCTGATCACCATCTGAACAAAGTTTGAAAACAAAATAAAATGAACCTAACAACACCAAAACGACCGCAAAGACAACTACAGAGAAGAATGACTTAAGTATGTACCTAGAACAGCCATGTTCCTCCTGTTGATCTTTGGTGAAACTAATCTGAAGGCGGTGCTGTTTTTACATTTAACCACATGCAGCTGGGGAATCTCTGCACAGGAGTTGGTATTTTCTTTCCTCCTGACATTTTTACCATCGACGATAACCAGTTCACACTTCTCTGAGGTGTCCACAACAGCAGTGGAGAGGGATGAACACCTTTTATCCGATGTGCATACTTGTCTGTTTTGTGATGCTGTGAAAAGGCTCCCCGCAGAACTTGTTCTGTTTGGCAGCTGCTCGCAGGGTTTGAGGGTCACGTGCTTCCCAGAAATTTCATTCGAACTAAATAGTAATCCGTGGTGTTTGGTGGAGACACGTGACTGTCCATTTGAGCTTGACTGAGCTTTAGCGTTGGTCATCTGTGTTTCTACTGTTGAATTTGTTCCATTCACATTGTGTGTACTGCCATAGGCAGAGTTTACATCCAGTGGTTCCCTAAATGGCACTGTGGTCCTATCATATGTCTGCTCTGGTAGCTCACCAAAGTGACAAGCATTTATTCCCCTGTAATCCATACAGGGGGTGATGTTTATATCTCCTGGTTTCCAATATGGAGCTGTGTCATATTCTCCCGACTCCTTACAAACAGCTTCAGGACGGTGGTTTTGCATCCCAGAGTCACCATACATTCTTTGAAAATTAAAACACAGATCCCTTGTTTCATTCTCAAGTGGCCCCTGTCTGTTTTTACACAGTGAGAAATCACCATCCTCCTCCACCACAGCTAATGCAGCTCCTTTCTCTTCCTCCTTTCCAAATGTGACGGGATTTTGCAGCGCAGCCTGGTAGGAGTCCCTGTATCGACACCTCAGCTCCTGAGCCCTGGAAACCTTTCCGCCCTGTTTTCTTCTCATGCATGGAGTACAGGGTTTCTCTGAGAAATGCACAGTCCGGATACACTCAGAGGGATCAGTGAAGTCAGAGTGAGGGTGGTGAGGCTGGGAAGGACTGAAAGTGGATGGAGGTCCTTTTTCTGCAGACTCGTTGGGTCTAAGATGACTTTGCGTTTGAGGTTTTGCAGGTAGCTGCACTGGTGCTTGCCACTGTGTGGGAGGTGGCATCCGTGTTGCCGTCTGCCCTTGTGTTTGCCTGTGTGAATCCTGTGGCTGGATTTGTGCAGGTCTCTGCAGATATCTCTGCATTTGTCCCTGAATTTGTGCATGTGGTTGGATTTGTGCCTCTGATTTTTGTTTTTCTTCTTTAATTGACTGAGCTCTACTGAAAAGCATAGTGGCTTGAAGGATATCAATATATTCCCCTTCTGCACCAACAATGGGTGCTGGCTCACCTCTACTGGTATCTTGAAGGTTTCTATCTTTACCTTTATCTTGCGCTGTGATTTCAGCACCCTTATCTTGACCTTTGCATACAATTAGATCAGTATTCGTAGGGGTCCACGTATCTGAAACAGTGCTTGGTCTTGTGCTTGTACCTTTCCCAGTAAAGCGGCTATCCCACGTGTTAGGGGACACCCAACCTAAAGGCTTAGGCTCTGATTCAGTCTCTGTAACTCTGATCAGCCTTGACGAAGAAGCAGCACTAACATCAACCAAGCAAAGCGACACAGCAATACCGTGCTTTGCTGGACATATTCTGGTCTCCACGGAGAAGGCAGAGGGATGTGAAGAAGATGTTAAAACTGAATTTTGAATGGTTAGAGGAAGCAGTTTGAGTGCAGATTCCTTTGAAGGAATAAGTGGTAAAGATTGATTAGATGAAGAATTAGGAAGAGGTGAAAGGAGAGGAAGCGGAGATGGCAAAGGAGGATATGAGCGAGGAGCAGAGGCCATACTACTCCTAGCACTGTGTGGCCTGTCGGCAAATTCAGGCACGGCCACCCGTTCCCATGGTAACCTCACCACGCCCTGCTCTGTGGCAAGCAGGCATCGGCTGAGAGGCGTTCCCTGGCGGCCGTTGTTGAGCTCATCTAACCAGTCGAGGCTGAATATGCAAGGATAGGAAGTTTCAGGAATTGGGGTTTCCTCTACTAATTCCTCCAATAAGTCCTCGTCTTCCAGGAGGCTGCAAACCACGATGCGAGCTGATTGGTCACAGAATGGTGCCACCTGGAGATAAAAATCACCCGGCTGAAGTAGCACTGGGTCGATGGGAGCAAGATGGACGACAACTTGGTCACATAAGCACAGAGGCCAGCCCTCATAGACGAAAAGAACACCAGAGTATGGAGCCTAAAGGGGACAGGACATGGGCAACAGAAAGAAGTGTACTCAGTATTCTGCTCTATATTAACAAAAGTGCTGAATGTACATAAAAGTCTCTTTAGCTTAGCATCCCACTGGAGTTTACAAGCAATGACTTACACATGCAGCCTGCTGCACGGTGTCTAAGATGTGCTTGGCTGGGACCAGAAAGTCCAGCAAGCACCGAAGGGCGTCTCCCTGATAATGATTGTCGATGACTTGGAAGAGCTGGCTGAGAAGCGTGGGGGCGGTGGCCTCAAAGGGCGGGAACAGCACAGACAGAAGGTTTTGGATGGATCCCTCGAGAGAATCAAAGTTCTGGAAACATAAGAGAGAGCAGAAAGCTACAGATGTTACTTAGCAACAAGTTTTTGAAACTTCATACCACTGATTTCCCGTATTACATCATGAGTTGCTAAATAATCAAACACCTCCATCATTTTTACATATATTCATTCAGCTGCTTAGAAGTTGAACCTTAGTGCAGGCAATCAATATTTCATTCTCAATTTAAAAATAAAATTTAAAACTTTTTTGATTTTTATCATCTGAAATCATATTTAGACTAAATCTGTGCTAGCCAGTATTTCTAACCTTTGAGATGCTGGGATTCTTGCTTGATAACTGATTAATAAAATATTCTGACAGTCAACTGATCAATTTATCAGGTATCGAAACTGTGACTTCACGTTAACCGCATAAAATATTTACTTAGTGCAGTGCAAAGTAATACTAAACAGCAGTAAAGCAGGAGTCAGCTGCTTCCATCTGCCTGTTGTCCACAGTAAATTACAGAGGCCTTGTCCTCATGCTCACAGAACAGCTTCACAAACACACAAAACACCTCAGGCTCATCAATGAATATCGAGGCAGCCGGCCTGACAACAAACATCCAAGCAAACATAGTGTGTGATGCCTGGTCCCGAGGTTCACAGGCCTCCTGGTTTATAGTTTCACATTCCCTTTGACCTGAACTCATGGCCCACTACCCACTTTTAGGCCCTTCTTTATTTAGACCAGCAAAGGCCACAGCACCAGACCTCTGGGGTTCACATACAGTATATACACGTACATGGGGGATATATGGCTTAGAAGAAAAGTGATGTGTGAATCTCCATGCAGAAGTTGGATCTTATTACAGCTGGATATAGTGAGCATAGATGTTTTGCCAGAAAGAAAAAAGCACATTTTCATACATGCCAAACCAGAATGTAAAAGTCACTGTCCACTGCATATTTTCATTAAGATTATTTACCACTCAGCTCAAAGATTCAAAGCTGGAGTGACAGACATGGATAAGCAGAGATGGAGACATAGACGTGTTTTGGTGTGATGAATTAGCGCCTCTGACACTGATACTTGCTCGCTGTCTTGTGTTCAAACCAATTCAGTTCAGTTGTATTTTTATATAGTGCCAAATCACAACAACAGTGGCCTCAAGGCCCTTTAAGTTGTAAAGTAAAGACCCTACAATAATACAGAAAATCCCCCCAAAATTAGATGACCTACCATGAGGAAGCACTTAACAACAGTGGGAAGGAAAATCTCCCTTTTAACAGGAAGAAACCTCCACCAGAATGAGGCTCGGGGATTGGCCACCCTGTAAATGAGAACAGGCAAGAGATATCATGTGTTCTGTATCTTTTTCTTGCCACTTCTATGAAGGGCTGTGCGGCACTTTTGGTCTTCATTAAGCAGTTTAACGCATTCATATTTGCATTTTCTCAAAAGTGACTTTTTCAGTTCTATGCATAACGTGCCTAAAGGTTTCATCTTATTTTATTTTTTTTGCTGCCTGTTCTCATTTACCATGTGGCCATCTACCCTCTTCATCTCATCCCCTTACATTATCATCCAAGGAACGCTGGAATCTCCACCAGTCCATAGCGCCTACAGCTTCAGAAACAACACTGTGACTCAGAGCTGTTTAGTCAGCTTTGACACATCCTGCTGGGATACAACACAACAATGGCTACTGGGGTAAAAAGAAAGAAAAGGATAAGGGGGGTGTTTAAAAAAAAGTGGTGGTGGGTGCTAAATGAGAGAAGATATGGATGGGTACAGACTGAAGCGCTTTATGAAGTGTAAGCAAATTCAGCTCATAGCACATACATTTTAAATGAAGGGTTTTCCTGTCTTAATCACCAAGAAAAGCACACCAGCTTCATCAACTCTTAAATGATGCCAGTGAAAGGGTATGCTGGTGTGGAGGTCTACATACAAGCCTCCGATTCAAGCTGTGCCTGCACTGCTGGTGATGAGTAAGCTGTGAGAAGCAGGACAAATCACCAGTTACAGCATGTGCACCAACAAAGATGCCTATTTAATCAATTTTTAAAATGCGTGTTTTTTAACTTATGTGTTTACTGGTTAGCCTGCCACCAGTATGCGGCGTATTAGCGGACTGCGCAGGCATGTCTCTCTGCCTAGGCAGATTCACATGGCTCTATATAAACACCCGGATCTTTCTCACTCAGCCACTGAAATAAATAACGATGCTCACATTACTGTGGATAAGATGTCCCAGTGCTGGAGCTGAGGACAGTTTGAATATTTATGTCCAGTATCATTATGAAGCAGAAATAGTCCTTGAACATTCCTGATGTCAAGGAGGTTCCTGTCTGGACAAGAAGAAGATACTTAACACTAAAGAAAGAAAAGAGTGCACAGTGACATCCCTGTAGTCCATGTGCTTCTTGGGGAATTTTTCCTTTTTCATCAGTAGTCTCTGGTGGCAAGGGACAAGAAATGAAGAACAAGGGAATACAATGCACCAAAGGTCTAGGGTTGGATTTGAACCAAGGACAATGCGATTACATGCTGTCCCTCTTTGATCCCTAAACTAGGACACCAGCATGATCCCAACTGTGCCATTGTATGAAAATCCAGTTTAAAAAAAAGAGTGTCCAGATTGGATCATTAATATCCATTATTCCTGCTGACTGACATAAACAAACTATTTCTTGGAATGAATGAAAACATGCAGATATTTATTCTTAGGTTCAGCGCAATGACTTTAAGGAATACAGAAATTGAAAATCAACAAGAAAATGTTGTATTTGTGAACACTGGCATCCTTGGAAAATTTATTTGAATCTTTTCTTGTTATTAACACAGTCAACCATTAACACTATTATCATTATCCACTCAAATATTCATTTTTTTGTGATACATTATAAGCAAAGAGCCTGAGAACTATGTGAATCCCAACAAGTCCGGCGTCTCTGATAGCAAAACCTCAAAGTCTCTGCAGACACTGACACGACCTCTAAATAAGCATTAAAAGAATCAATTTCCTGTGTTTATGTCTGCGGTTATTCATCGAAGCTGATATACACAGATTCTCTTCTGGATTGCACGAACTATTTAAAATGGTTTTAGTGCTGCCAGTTATAAGAAGTGCTGTGGGATAAATGTGGATTCCTGTCTATTCCCAACAAGAAGGAGATCTTTCATTCCAATTCATTATTAGAGCTCCTGGAGATGCTGTGAAACTGTGTTTTTTAAAGAGGCGTCACCACTACAACAGATAACTAAACATATAATTTTCCAGCTGCCTAAGCAGCGGTCAGAACGAGTCATGTGTGGCTCCATTCATGGCTAAGTGTAAGTGTATCATATTTGATACATGAGTTTTTGAGACTTCTATTTCATCACAGGGGATTTTTTCCCCCCCCTGATACAGTGGGCCACATTCATGTAATATGCCAAGAAAACATTTCTGTCACACCTTAAACTGTGTTTGAAAGTGAAAATTAAATCAAAATTTGGCAGCTCAGTTAATTATGCCTACAGGGAAAAATTAATTACTGCACAACTTCATTATTATTATTATGCTTTAATATGCAATGTTTACCTTCTGTTGCATCTTCTGCAGTACAAAGCATTGATATGCACTGAGTCCACTCTGTGGAGAAAACATTTGGGCTAGCTGAAAGTGTCCTCCTGTTATGCCTCAGCAGAGGACAAAGCTGAGAAAGCAGGAAAGCTCAGTAATGGGATCTTTAACCAGCTGGAACAATCTTAAGTGATACTAGATGCTGAATCAGTGAGAAACTGAGGTCAGTAAATTCTTATTGACACCACAGTCATATTCTCCTGTACATAGTCTGTGACTTGCTGTGGAGAATTGACAACATTTAAGCGTGTACTTGACCGACGGAAAAGGGGGGACTCTCCACTCCAGGTTAGGGACGAGTTATTGGCCCAAGTTGAGGAGTTTAAGTATTTCGGAGTCTTGTTCATGGTTGAGGAGAGAGGAGAGTGGGAGATCGACAGATGGATTGATGCCAAAATTAAATGAAAGAACAAGATTGCAGATACAAGCCCTGGAAATTAGCTTTCTGAGGGGTGGCTGGCCTCTCCCCTAGAGATAGGGTGAGGAGGTCGGCCATCCGGGAGAGACTCAGATGCCACTACTCCAAATCGAAAGGAGTCAGTTGAGATGGTTCGGGTATCTGACGAGGATGCCTCCTGGGATCCTCTTGGGTGACGTTTTCCGGGCATGTCCCACTGGGAGGAGGCCCCGGGGCAGACCCAGAGATTTTATCTCTCGGTTGGCCTGGGAATGCCTTGGTGTTACCCCAGACAAAACTGGAGGAGGTGGCCGGGGAGAGAGAGGTCTGGGCTTCTCTGCTTAGGCTGCTGCCCACGCAACGCAGCCCCAGATAAGCAGAAGAAGATGGATGGGTGTATTTAACAATAAACATTTACCAATGGTTCACAAAGAAAAGCTTTTCACCTCACCATTCGTAATTTTTGAAATTTCCAACTCTCCAGGCAGCTGAATCCTGTCTATCTGGTTGTCAGCTGACCATCCATCAGAAGGGGAATTTTCTTGGATTTCTTTCTCATTGTATGTAGTTGTGTGCTTTCTGTGTGTTTCTTTACAGCAGGAAGGGCTCCCTTGCTCACGTCACGCTATGATAAAAATGTCTTCAGTCTGCAGCTCTGTTGACCCATTCACTGAAAATAACAAACCAGTGAATGATGACAAAAACACTCAGGCTGACCAACAGATGCTTTTAAAGATAGGCAACCTGACATATTTAGTCATTTTAAGGACAATTCAATTGTGCTGTAAATAGATTAGCGCTGACGCAGAAGCTGTGCTGTGACACACCACCAGAACAATCGATGGCACACAGCAGAGGCTCAAACCAGCCATGGGACAAAATGTGAGGTCATGAATGTAAGTGTCCTTGTGAAAGCAGTTCCCTTTAAATAGAACTATTTTCTTTCTTTGTTTTTTAAATTATGATAAATTAACTTTTATCTTTCAGCAATGACCTGCAACTGAAAATCTTGCAAATCTGTGA